AGAGTTGTAGATATTGCCATAATCCAGCTCCTATTTATTAATTCAAATAAAGTTAGTTAATAAAGTGTGAGACTAAATGTGATTTATGTTTACAGCATGTGTCCCCGGTAGCTGTAAACGAATGATCTACCCCTCCCACCTACCCCCACACGTTTACTTACATTGCAGGGACATTATAGAATTCAACATGTCCATGGAGTCAGTCTGCTCAGGAATGATTGATGCTTAAACAGGGGCACCAGGGTCACAGGAGGAAGGATGTCCGTAGTCTTACTGAAGTGGAAGACTCTTAGTCACCAAAGACAGTTCCATCCTTGGACCCTCAAGCCATGGAGAAACATTATTCTTTTTTTTTTAAGGTTAAACTGATTCCTAGCTTTATGAAAAAATAATTTATTCATGTTAATGTGCATGAATGTCTCGCCTGCATGCACGTCTGTGCACTATGTCTGTGCAGAGCCCACAGAGGCCAAAAGAGGGGGTCAGATCCTCTGGAACTGGAGTTACCGATGGTTGTAAGAAGCCATGTGGGTGCTGAGAAATGAGCCCAGGTCTTCTGCAAGAGCAGTCAGTATTCTTAGCTACCAAGCCATCTCTCCAGTTCTCACTCACTCTTTTTTAGTTCATTTTCTGCTGTTTGCATCCTGGATGTCGGATGTTGTGGGAGGGCAGACATGTCAACAGGAAACACGCCCTGTCTTGTGAGAGACGGCTGCATCCACAAATCCCTCACACAGAAAACGCGATGCCCCGCCCCCTACACACACAATAGCCAACTGTCTCCTCTTTCTCTTAGGTTCACTGGAATGTCCTCCGCTCTGCTCTCTGGCTCACTTGTCTCAGACCGGAATGTCTTTCCTCAGCATCCTGGGTCACTGGAAGATATCTGTCTCCTATTTCAGAGTCTCGGGCAGTCCTGTCTCCTGTCAGCTCCCCACAGCCCCCTGACGTAGACCAGAAAGCTCCCCTAGACTCTGCTACAGTTATGGACACCCCCTCACCTTTTTCCTTCAGAGAAAGGAGACACTCTGAAGAGAATTCTGCTCACTTGCTGAAGAGAGCTCCCTTCTGTTCCCATGCATTCTGAGGATCCTCCCTTGCTCTCCTGTTCCCACAGACCCTGCACCCCCTACTCCTCAGAAGTACCTGTGCTAGTGAGAAATGGACATTTCCTTTATCAAGCGTCAAGTGGCCCAGGAGGGCTCTATCTCACTGAGGTGGCCACAGCCGGGGTCCCACGACGCTCTGATGAGAATGTGATCTGGAATGTATGTGAATCAGCCGGCATCACTCTTACTCATTGTTTGGACTTCTCCTCCTTCCCTCACCCTGATCCAGATTGACCCAGCCACATCCACATCCATGTCCTTGGTTGGCCTATCTTCCTCAATCAAATTAGAAGTGACTTCCTGAGTGGGCAGAGAACTGCATTTTCATTTTCCTGGGCATTGACAGATGAAACTGCAGTTGCTGAGGAAATGAAGTCATCAGCTCTCAGGTGCCCCGACATCCTCAGCTGTGTCTGGGCTGGAGAGTCACAGGCCCTCAACTTATTATTACTGAGAATAATGGGCAAAATGTAAGCAATTACGTGTTGAGTTTGGGTCGTGTTTTGGTGAAGAGGCAGAAAAGGGCGAATCCTGCCCTTGGGTCATATCATGATTTGGAACCAGATGTGCAATAATGAAAGCTAAAGGCCTGGATCGGGCCAGGTGCGATCTGGGGTGCACCTCTAGGAGCTACTCTTCAGTCTCTGCGGATTATAATCGAGGGCACAATAACCGGGCCCGTTTCTAGGCAGATGTGCAAGCAGAACCCAGAGTAGGTGATGGACGCTGCTTTCCTACCCAGAAGTCCATACTCAGGCTCTGGCTGTGGCCGGCGTCCAGTCCCCTGGTAGTGACGGCAGAAGAACATAACCTAGGCTGCCAGCTGACATATCCAGAGGCATGTCCTGAAGGAGGGAGTACAGGCAAGGACTAGGCATCGGCCAGAACAGAAGAGGACTGCCTGGTTCCTGGGAAAGACCTCAGGAAGGCCAGGTATGGAGACACTCAGGAGTCAACAGTATTGTTCCTGGGGTCTACAAGATGGGGCATACTCTAGCCCAAAAGATGTGGGAGCAAGAGTCATTGCAGAACATATTCCACATGCCTTGGGGCTCGGTGACCCCTCCCCACACTGCCTTTTCAGCTTCCTGTCAATCATTTCATGTCTTCAGCCTATCCTGCAGGAAGAACTGATATTCTTACTAATTTGTACCAAATTAATTTTCACCATCCAACCAGTATCATAATGTTCAAGTCAATATTAAAAATATAGTAATTTTTTAGATAAGTGAATCCCAGACTCTTGAGTCCTGAGCAGATGTCTCTAGGCAGGTGAATTTTGATAGTAAGAAATAAGCAGACAGGGTGATGTCTTGCCTTAATCTATTTTGTATTACTGTAACAGAATACCAGAGACTGGGAAATTTATAGCTATAAGAAGTTTATTAATAGGTCTGTAGTCTGGAAAGTCCAAGGGTTTGGCACTGGCATCTGGCAAGGACCTGCGTGCTATGTCATAATCCATAACTACTGAGGAAGTGTGCACACAGGACAGAGAGAAGGCGGCTGACCTCAGCCTGGAAAGACAGCCTCTGTACAGACTCCTAAGGCAGAGCCTCTATAACCCCGTTACTGTTTAAGGTCTCATTTTATTTCCTTTTCCACACCCTGGTGTGTGTGTGTGTGTGTTCACATGTGTGGAGGCCCAAGGATGAGGTTGAGAATTATCCTCTCTGGCTCATCCACCTGAGTCATTGAAATAGTCTCTCAATCAAACCCACAGCCTGCCGATTTTTTTTTTTTTTTTTTTTTTTTGTAAGCCAGCTCTCTCTGCCTACAGAAGCTGAATTACAGGGAGGCTGCCATCCTCTCCTCCCCAGCATCTGGGTAGCTGTCCCTGCAGGAGCTGCCTGGCTGCTCTTCCGCCTGTAGGTGAAGACTATCTCACCAGGGCTGCTGAGACCAGACTCAGGGTCTCTGTGCCACAGTGACCCACAAAGTCTGACTTAGTGACCTGTGTATGGTGTCAGGAGCCCTGGACCCACAACTGGCTTCCAAATTCCCAATTCTGCCTACCAAAGTTCTAGTTAGCCACAGTTTTCTCAACGCCTCAAAAGTGAATGGGTTTCGTTTTCCTGCTTGAAGCCCCGTGTCACCTGGTCACACCAAGCATCTCATGGAATCTGTTCTCTCTAAACATCTGCCCCTGCTGGTAGCTAAACTGTCTCCAGATCACACACTTCTTTGGCTCTCAACAATGGGTATCTTTGTGCCCTTCCTCGAGAAGAGAATGAGCCTGCATAGAAGTTGATGTCACCATCTGACCAAAGCCACTGGAGCCAGCAGGTGGAGGTGTGAAACCCCAGGAATGTAGGAGGACTGACCAGAGGGCCAGAGTCTTCAGAGTCAAAGAGCCACTTCATGGCCCTGTGTCTGCTGCTTACCCTCTAGGGGACCCTGACTGAGATATTTCCTCTCTCTGGAACTCAGTTCTTCATCTGCAAAAGGCCAGCAATGACAGAGCTTTCCATAAGGTGGTTGGGAGGGAAATACAGGTGGGGTTTGTGTTGTTGAAAACACGCAATCCCCTGTCTCTGTCTAATGCCTGAGACCATAGGTGTGCCCCATCATACCTAGCTGCTACCCTTTTGTCTCTCTCTCGGCATCTCTCTTTCTGTCATGACACAAAATTCCTTTTCAGATGCTGGCTATCAACCTTGGACTTCCTAATCTTCAGAACTGTCAGGAATAAATATGTTTTCTATGTAAGCTCTCCAGCTTCTGGTACTCTATTATAGTAACTCAGACTGAACTAAGATTCAAGGTCACAGAACACAAGCGATATGTAAATCAATTGCATTTTTATATACTAGCCAAAAAAAAAAAAGAAAATATATGAGAAAGAATAAAACACCTCAAAGTCTTATAAATAAATTAATTAATTAAAATATAAAAAAAGTCTTTCCCCCAAACTGTGAAACATTGCTGAAATTAAACAAGACCTACAAGTTAGCGTTGTTACAATGTTCACAGCTGGGAAGACTCAATGTTACAAATGCGCCAAATCTCCCAGTTGTTTTTGTTTGTTTGTTTGTTTATTTGTTTTGTTTTGTTTTTTGTGACATGCATCTGTAATCTCAGCCCTGGGGAGATGAGACTGGAGGATCTCTGGGGCTCACTGACCAGCCAGCCTTGCTGAACCAGTGAGATCCAGGCCAGTGAGAGATACTGTCTCACAAAACAAAGGGGACAGCTGTCCTGAGGAATGACACTCAAGGCTGACCTCTGGCTTCTGCATGCGCACACCCACACGTATGCACACTGCAGCACCTACTCACACACACATGCACACATTGGTGAGTTCCACAAAAATCACTTGAAAAAGGAACCAAGTGTAAGAAGAGGTATCTCCTCTAACCTTTGTTGAGAAAATCACATTGAGGCAACGTTCATCTGTGCTTTGGACAGACAAGGGAAAGACAGGACAGTGGCCGCTCAGGGAAGGCACAGACGGCTTCTGAGAGGATGGGTGTCTCCTGGGCTGACTGTGCTGGTTCAGCCTGGGAAATCCCCTGAGCTGTGAACCTATGATTGACATATTTTTTTGTTTGTGCCAGACTTCAATTAAGTTCAGTTAACTAAAAAGAAGAAGGCCCACTGGCTGAGATACTTGTTTGTTCTAAATTAGGGCAAATTAGCAGGGAAAAGAATGGGGAGCTGTAGAAGGCCGCAACCACACTCTCCACCATAGATGGCGCTGCACCGCCAGGTGAGCTAGAAAGCTCACACGTGTTGGTATTTTTCCACTACTCCCAAGGTATCACCTGGGACTGGGAGCAGTTGACCAATCCAGGAAAGACACGTCCAGAGCAGGGTCTGTTTCCTTTATAAGGGATGGGTTCCATCTTATCTGGGTCCCCGGCCATGTTGGCTTATGCTCTAGCTCCCAAGAGGATTAAAGCCATTCCTGCAGAAGGATCCTAGTGTTCCGCGTGGTTCTTGCTGGCGAGACGGTAGCGCGGGGCAGGGAGCTATGCTGAGGCTCAGAAGAGAGCGAGATGGGAGAAACAAGTCTGTAGGTTGAATAGACAAAGTGAGACTCATCAGATGCAAAAGGAAAGGGTGAGTCTGTACCCCCGTTGTCAATTACTGCTTTGCAATTACAGCTGGGAATGTCCTCTTCTTGTTAATGTGCTGTATTTGGAACATGAAATCTTCCTTCCAGGAAATAGGGTGGGAAGTAAATTGGAATCATTTTTAGTTCTCATGAAGGTTCTGACCTCAAACAGAATAAAATGTCAAGTTTAATGATCCCTCCCAGCACTGAGCTAGAAATCAATTTTTTCCTCGTTTATTGTGTCACAGCTAAGTCACCAGCTAATACTCAGTATTTTCCCTTAAAGTGCAGTCACCAGTTCTGCCTACTCTTCCTCATTTTCTCCACAAACTATACCAGTCTTTTACAGAGAAAAATAACTGCATCCATCAGGAAAAAAAGTCGCGCTAGAAATAAATTGAGAAATTAGAGTACAGATAATATGATTTCCTCCTAGGGAACAATGAAGTCAGATTGATTTCTCTAACGCAGGAAAAAGCCGGAATGTGAAGTTAACACTACAGGGTCATAAAGGGAATTACAGAGTATCTCTGTGACCTCAAAAGCGAGGAAACACTTCAACAAAACCCTGAGACATACACACATGCACACACTCTTAGATTCATACACATATGCGCGCGCGTGTGCACACACACACACACACACACACACACACACACACACACACACACAGAGAACTGCCTGCACACACACTGTGCACTGGATCAGTCAAAATAAGGCATTCTATTGCTTGAAGGAAGTCATGGACCAGATGAGCAGAAAAAAAGCATAAGAAGATATTATCAGCACCCCAAACTCACAGCCAAGGGCTCCTGGAAACAAATGAGAAAAGGATGGAGACCCCAGCAACAGCAGCCACAGGTGAACCGTCAGTAGCTAGGAAGAAGGTAAACAAGCTGATGGTGGGAAAGGGACTGGAGAGGATCCAAACTCAGAGCCATGCAAGAGGCTGGGAACCGAAGCCACACAAATTAAACCATGGCAGACAGGTGCACCCTTGAGTGAGGGCCCCAGAGATTGTACCCATGAATCAGCCTCTGGAGCCAGTGTCACACTGTCTGATGTAAACTGTCCAAATGTAGTAATTACTTCCCATGTTGCTGCAACAAATACCTGAGAAAAGCAACTTAACTAAGGTTTGTTTAGTTTCTCGTTCAAGTATACAGTGGGTGTGTGTGTGGGGGGAGCATGGTGGCATGGGCTGCATGGGCTGGTGGCAGCTGGTCACACTCTATTCCACAGTCAGAAAGCAGAGGGAGGTCAATGCTGGTGCTCAGCTCACTTTCTCCTTTAAAAAAATATATGCTTATTAAGATTTTTTTTAAAAAAATTATGTGTGTGCATGTTTGTCTGTATGTGCATCTGTGTTTCAGTCTTATGGAGATCAGGGATGTTGAATACCCCTTGGAAATAGCATTATAGGTAGCAGTGAGCCATCTAGCAAGGGTGATTGGAACTGAACTCAGGTCGTCTGCAAGATCAGTGTTCTTAACCAAAGAGCCATCTCTTTGACTCTTTACTTTCTTCTTTTTATTGTCAAGTTGACACAGTCTAGAGTCACCTGGGAAGAAGAACCCCAATTGCTTATAAGAAAGTCTGTTAGGGGATTATCATGTTAATTGGTATGGGAGGGTACAGCTCACCTGAATGGTACCATTCCCTACCACCCTCTACTCTTCCCAGGCAGTCTGGCCTGTATAAGAAAGGTAGCAAAGTATAAGCCTTAGAGTGAGCAAGTCAGTAAGCAGTGCTCCTCCATGGTTCCTGCCTCCAGGTTCCTGCCTTGAGTTTCTGCCTTGACTTCCTCAGGACTACAACCTGAACATTTAAGACAAATAGGCCCTTTTCTTCCCAAGTTGCTTTTGTTCAGTGTTTATCACAGCAACAGAAAGGGAACCGGAACCCACCTTGAAGAAAGAGATTCTTGGGGGAAGTGCATCCTAGCCACATGCTCTGTTTGAAAGTCTCCCTCCTCCATCCTCTACTGGAAGTTTCCTTGGGGTTTGGCTTCCTGCACATGCTCTGTACAGTGTCTTGGTTCCTTTGCCTAGGTGGTGTAGGAGGATCTTCTGACTATGTGTTACTTTCATTGTGTTACTTTCATTGGTTAAATAAAGCTGCCTTGGCCTTTTGATAGGCCAGCCCTTAGGTGGGTGGAGTAGACAGAACAGAATGCTGGGAGAAAGAAAGCATAGTCAGGCAGACGCCATGGCTCTTCTCTTTGAGACAGATGCTGGCTAGATTCATGCCGGTAAGTCACAGTTAAGTGGCGATACAGATTATTAGAAATGGGTTGAGAGTTAGCCAATAAGAGGCTAAAACTAATGGGCCAGGCAGTGTTTAAATGAATATAGTTTCTGTGTAATTATTTCGGGTGTAAACTAGCTGGGTGGCTGGGCACCGGGAATGCAGCCCACCACTACTTTTACAGCACCTGGGGACGTGCCAACCCCACTTTCATTTTTAAAGGATTTTTTTTTTTGACAACAATAGATGAGTGTTTTGGTTTGGTTGCTCAACCGTTTCTTTGATGACATTTCCATGTTGTGTTCTGACCTCTGTAGCATCCAAGAGGAAATCACTGTCTAACAGGAACTCAGTGAGTATTTGAAGAACAGCACCGAGGCAGCACACCAGAAAAGAGAGCTAAATGTGTACTGGAGCCAGCAGAGCAGACAAGTATAAGTGTCCCTCCCAGGGGTCAGTCACTTCTTCCAGCACAGGCCTCACTGCTGCTCGCTTGTCCCTGACCTGGCCACCTCCACCGCCTTCCTTCCCCACCCACCTGCATAATTCCTTCCTCCAGATGGTGCTCAGGAACTGTCCATCTCTTCTATCCATCTGTCCTAAGGATGGGCTGTTGGGATACCTTACTGGTGTGGCACCAAGAAGGACCCTCCCAGAGTCCTTGATGACCACTTTACCTCTGAGATGTGGTCTCCAGGCAAGTGGCAGTGACTTCTGATGCAATGGAAGGATCCGCTGGGTTTATTGTTGGACAGGTCCTTGATCGACACCTTCAGAGAGACATAGAGAATTCTCAGTGTGGCTCAAATCCATGGTCATTTATATGAGAAAATAATGATGCATTTGATGTGATTCTGAGCACATCCTTCTGGTCTCTGATTGGCTATAAATCTTACTATAAGGATGAGTAAAACGTCTCTGAAGAAATCAAAGAGAAACCAAATCAAAACACACCAGGACACTTGACTGCATCCTCTTTATCGCTGAGATGTGGAACCCCTGATCTGAGCCACTACTCCTGTAGTGTTGGCTGCTGTCCCTGGTACGATTTAATCTTCTGCAAAGCAACAGAGGCATGCCATATGTCCCAGAGAGTCACCACCATAAGGCCCTGACTTAAGACAGCATCTCTGAGTTCAGAGCTTACACCACTGCCTCAGACTATGCTAGAAGGACCACAGCACCCACAGAGCTAGTCTTTGTTTTTGAGACAAGGTCTTACTACACCAGCCTTGGTTGGCTTGAACTCATTGAATAGATCAAGCAGGTCTCAAACTGACAGAGATCCACCTGATTTTGCCACACCAGGAGTGCCTTATTCTCAGCTGTGAAGGTTCTATTGTAGTAAAAGAATTTCAAAAGAGTAGATGCAGAGGGCAGAATCCAAGGGGGTTCAGCTATGGTACACTGGCCATCCTCTGCCCATAAGTCTTGGATGATGTCACTTTCAGCATGTGATAATCCACCCAAAGTCCTGCCTTCAGCAGAGGGAAAAATATCTTTGGGCTCCATCACACACTACCTGCATGGCTGGTCTACAGCTCTACCTCACCAGGTTGTAGTTGACAAGACACATTGCAAAGCCCTAGGCAAGTGTGTACTCCACTGGCCAGACACAGGTAGGAGTGGGTGGTGTCTGGGCACACCCAGGCAGCCAAAGACCAAGGCATATCTCTATAAGTCAGTCCTCCAGATCACACTGCCACCACCTCCTTATGAGAGGGCATAAAATGCATGAGTCTCAATATGTCTATCTTGGGATAACTCTAACCAAGCAAATGAAAGAATTCTATAATAAAAAACTTTAAGACATTGAAGAAGATACCAAAAGATGGATAGATCTCCCATGTTCCTGGATTGGTAGGATTGATATAAATATGGCAGTCCTACCAAAAGCAATCTACAGATTCAATGCAAACCCCATCAAAATTCTAAGACAGTTCTTCATAGGACTTGAAAGAATTTTAAGCTTCATATGGAAGTGCGCGCGTGTGCGCGCATGCGCGCGCGCGCGCACACACACACACACACACACACACACACACACACACACACACACAC